ACAATTAGGGCAGGAGCTGGTAGTGTGAGGGCTATTTGATTGGTGTGTCTACAGAGGGAAAAAGAGGAGTGTAGCTGGATATGGTTTATGTGAATGAGAAAAGTGGGGGTTCTCTTGTGACAGATATACAACTCACTTCATCTATCGGCTTGGAGCTTAGGCTATCAATTAAACAATTTTGAGTTTGAAGCTTGCATATACAATCTGTGTTGAGTTTGCATTAATTCACTCAAAAGTCCAAAAAAAAGTAGCTCTGAATTATAGTAATTTGGATGATGAGTTTGTCAGCAAATAGGTATAGGATAGAATTTCATAATCTTTTTTAAAAATTTATTATTGATAGTCAGTGAACGATCGTGTTTGGAGGGACTATAGTCGGTGTGCGACAGAGGGATCAAAGTCGGCGAGCGACAGAGGTTGGAGGGCCAGCAGGCGATGGTGGTTAGAGAGGCCAAAGTCGGCAGGTGATGGAGATTGGAGTGACCGTAGATGGTGGGTGGACGGTGGTCGTAGGGACCATAGACGGCGGGCAACGGTGGTCGCAGGGATCGTAATCGGTGGGCGATGTAGGTTGAAGGGACCGTAATCGGCGGGCGCCGGAGGTTGGAGGGACCGCAATAAGAGAGTGGCGGGTGACAGTGTTTGAAGGGATCGTAGTCAGCATACAACGGTTGTTGGAGGTACTGTAGCCAGTGTGTGATGGAGGCCGGAGGTACCGTTATCGGCAGGCGATGGAGGATAGAGGGATCGTACTTGGTGGGCGAAGGAGCAGGAGGGACCATATGTCACGACCCAACCCGACCGGGACGGATCCCGCTCGCATCGGGTCGTGATCCAGACTCAAACTGACTGAACTGATTCCAGGATCTGGCTTTGGAATTTGTTTCAGAACTTTCTTCCAAACATACAGACAGAAACAGACGCACAGAGCTACTATAAACATCAAAATACAGCGGAACTGATCATCTATCTTTTTCTTCCTCAGAATCTCTCGGATTCTGGCCCCTTATGCCTCCCTTCCCAGACACTGACAGAATCTCTCGGATTCTGGCCCCTTATTTCTCCCTTTGTGCTCATGGCACCAGAACAGATGTGCTTATAGCACCAGAACAGAACTTATCATCGGATCCGGAACAGAACTTGTTTTCAGATTTCAGAGCTCATTTCAGATTTCCCTGACACAGACAGGATCTCACAGGATCCTGACCCCTTATAACTCCCTTTTCATAGCACACAATCATATCATGTCATTTCAGAACAAATCCGGACAATTTCAGAAATCGTACGAAAATCCAGCGGCATAACGGCAGTATACGGAATTTACACAAAATTCACAGATTAAAAAATTTACCAAATTACCACAGAACATTCACAACAATATTATAAGACTTTTATTCTACTGCCCAAACAATTTCAGACATCATCAGAAATTACAGTCAAAATAAAACACCGCCAAATCAAAACTTTCCGGTCAAAATTCTCCAGAAAATAATCAAAATGTGCACACTCGGCACCTCAGAAACATATCAAAAGTTACGTGGTAAAAACTGAACCAATCGGAAAATACGGACGAAATTCGCTAACGAAAACGAAATCCGGACAGAAAAAATCGTTCAAACTTCACCGTTCTGAAAATTGAGAAAGGCGGAATGTGCCTTACCTTGCGTACACCAATTTCTTGAACTGTCTCGATGGACGAAAACGGCCCAGCGTCGCCCAAAAATCAACTTTTCTTCTTTTCTTCTCGACCTTCTCTCTCCTCAAATTCAGATATTTTATTTTTTGATTTTCTCTCTCTTCAAAATGAGCTGATTTCAGCTAAATATCCTTCTGATCGGCCCGGCTGATCGCACGATCGTCCTGGACGATCTGACCAAATTCACATCGTTCTGGGACGATTTCTCAGGACGATAATTAATTTTCTTGGACGATAAGAACCCCTACTCTCTGACTTGTGCCATGCTCAGATCGGCCCGGGACGATCCCAGATCGGCCCGGACGATGCTTACAGGAAAACTTTCCTGTAATTTCTGTACAGATTCTGGAACAAAAATTGAACGGATCGTCCCGGGACGATCCACGATCGGCCCGGACGATAGGAGCAAAACTGCTGTTACACCATAGTCACGAGCAATGGAGGTCGGAGGGATTGTAATCGATGGGCGACAGTGGTTAAAAGGACCGTAGTCGATAGGTGACAGAGGTCGAAGTGGGGCCATAATCGGTTGGCGATTGTGGTTAGAAGGATGATAGTTGGCGGGTGATAGAGGTCGGAGGTACTGTAATCGGCGGGCGACGGTGGTTAGAAGGACCGTAGTCGGTGGACAATGGTGTCCGTCCGGAGGGACCATAGTTGGCGGGTGACGAAGGTCGGAGGGATCGTAATTGGCGGGTGACGAAGGCCGAAGGGAGTGTAATCGGCGGGCGACAGAGGCCAAAGGGACCATAGTCAGTGGGAGACGAAGGTCGAGAGACTGTAATCGATGGGTGACAGTGGTTAGAAGGATTGTAGTCGGTAGGTGACGAAGGCTGAAGAGGGACTGTAATTAACGGGCAACAGTTGTTAGAAGGACCGTAGTCAGAGGACGGCAGTGGTAAGAGGGATCATAGTTGGCGGCGACGAAGGCCTGAGGGACCGTAGTCGGTGGGCGACGGAGGTCGGAGGGACCAGAGTCGGCGGGCGGTGGAGGTCTAAGTGATCAGAGTAGTCGAGCGATGGAGGTAGGATGGACCATAGTCGATGTGTGACGATGGTTGGAGGGACCGTATTCGGCGAGCGACAGAGGTCGGAGGGACCATAGTCTATGGGCTATAGAGGTTGGAGGGATCATAGTCCAGTGACGGTCGGCGGTGGTCCGGTGAAGGTCTTCGGACTAATAGTGATCCAGCGACAGTCGGCGTACAGGCGGTGGTATGATGATGGTCGACTGAAGTTCGCCTGCGGTGGTGTTTGGGTGGAACTCTAGGATTCTTGGATCCTCAAAGTTCTCTCCAACTCCAACCAAATGCCTCATTCATGAAGAGAGTGTGAGCTTATTTATAGATTTTTGTGACATGCTCTGTAAATATGAAGAAGATACAAGATATTGTTGGAGAGCTCCATCAGACGGCTCATATTAATTTTCTCTATCATAGAACATTCATTTAACATTTAGTTGCCTTAATGTTGTCAGAATTAAGCGTTCTTAGGCTGTTGGATTCGTTTTGTCAAGCTGCTTAATTCGACTATAAGTATGATATATTTTGATATCTTTTTTTGAACATTTCAAATATGCTTTAGCCACTCGATTTGAACTCATTTGGACTCGGATTGGACCGGTTTTGGTGTTGTTTGATTTGTCTCTTTAAGACATTCAGTTTGATTATAAATTTGCTCAAATTGGAGTTTGGATGTCCCCGAATTTAGTTTTAAAAATTATCAACTCATATATGATTTGAGATTTATGTCTGATTAAGATAATTTCTGGTATATATATATATTTGTGTGTGTGTGGAAAAATAAAAATAAATTAAAAAAAAAAAAATTTCGACCTGCAACACTCATGTCCTTAGGGCATCTCCAACCGAAAACCTCATTTTCCACTCTAAAATGCCGTAAAACTTCAAAATGCGGTAGTTTATCTCCAATGGAACTCCATTTTTTTCGTGAGCTTCTTTGCGAAGATGGTTATCTGTCTCCTATTTTGCGCGCCAACTGCGAAGCTAAGTAGAGTGCGAAGGTAATCTTTTTTTTTTTTGCATATGTGAACAGTTTGATGCCAATATTGGTGTCACACTGTTCACTTACCGATTTTTTGACGTGAAATTTAGACTTCGATTGCAGCGATTTGTGAACTGCATACAATGATATGTAGTTTTATTGGAGATGATCTTACTGCATTCCAGAACTTAACTTGCACCCATGACTTTCCAGAGCCGGGTGTCCAACTCTATTTAGATAAATAAAAAAAATTCCTAACACCTAAATTCCCTCTTCGTCTTGCACTCCTACTGCATTTCTCACGCAACTCTCTCTTTGTTGCCTTAAATATATCACCACCCTGAGCCTGTCGCTCCTCCCTAAACCCGACGCAGTACCAGTGTGGCTCGTTCTCCTTTACACTGCAAACCCCTGTTGACAAACCCTCTCTCGCTGTCATCGCCTTAGATACGCAGCCTGCAATAGCCCTCAACCGGGCCATACACGCTACCGTGCCGCCTCCTCACCCAGCACAGCCGCCGGCCCGCCGCCGCTACCATCACCGCTTCCCCTCTGTCTCTCTCTCACTCGTAACTTGCCAGTTTCAATTGTATTTGACCGGGCCAAGCGAAAAGGGCGCTTCTTTGATAATTTTGATGCTCTAACACGTTTCAGCACAATCTGTTTCGCAGCATTTGGGTGATTTTGCACATCGTCAGAGTATGTTGAACCTGTTTCACCCAGCGCCGTGTGAGTCGATCGTCATTGTCGTCAGACGTCCTCGAATTGATCGTAAAGTACATATTGGGGTCAACAGGAAAGTTCCTCAGTTTTAAGAAACTTAAAACTTCAATTCTAAGCCTTCTAAAAAAACGAGAACCACAAACGCAAGTTTTGTTTTTAAAAAAATGGCATGATCTTACTTCTTAAAGAGGCTTTAGAATTTTCTCTGTGAAAACCAAAATTTCTAGATTTCTGACGTGGAATCTCCTTTTTTTGTCGTTTGCTTCTTAATTTTGATGATAATCTTCTCCAGGAAGAGGATAATGAGGGGGCGTGGCCTGATAAATTTACTTGCCTTGAAGGTGTCTTCTTTAATTACTTCAGCATAGGTATGCATTTAAGTTTATGGTGGATGTCCATGCACAAATGCTCGAACCGCTGATGCTGTAAATGAAATGTTTTGCAATTTTCTGTGTTCATATCTTTAACTTTAAATTGAGGTTCTATGAAAAAAAATTGTCATACTAGTTTTAGCTTGATTTGGTGGGTAATATCAGCTTATTATGTTTCGACGTTTTGGTAAGTTTCAGTGAAAATGTTACTAAATAATAGGAGTATAACATTATATAATCCCTTTGTTAAAGAAGACACATGGACCGAAACGGGAGGGGAAATTTCTCAAGAATTAAATGAAAAGCAACAGAGATATTAGCATGTCACGCTTATTTACATGCTATTTAATACCATATCTTACATATATCTTTTCTGTTGTAAGTCCAAGTGAAATTAAACTTATAAGAATGATTGTTTTCAATTTGTTTTTTCTATAATATGCTCTTAAGGTACATGTTATTTATTATGTTAATTTGAATTTTTTATTTTTCCACTTTTAACAAGATGCTTGTGATAGAATTATATCTTATTAATGGTCGAAGACTTGCTTGTCATATTTCCTACAATTTATTAGTGGTGGCAGTAAGTCTTTTATAAGTAACGTGGAAGATATAGCTTCAAAGAATCATATGGATAAGGCTGCTACAATCTAGTTTGAGAGAACACTCAAAATTTGGTAGTGGTAGTAAGCCTATTATTATTTATCTATTTGGTTATAAATGTATATATAATGACAAAATACTATTTGCATGGATTGAGATATTATTTTGTATAATCTTTTTGACCAAAACTTCTATTGTAGAAAATTCAATAAAAAAATTGAGATTGTTCATTTCAATTTATACCTTGAATATAGTATAATACCAAATTTCTCTAAAATTCAGTATGATTTGGTCATGCTCATGCTTCAAGCATGCGACTGTGATACCTTAACTGATGAGTTGAATGGTGAGATAATTGATTTACTAATTTTATGGTGTATCAGTGCTATAATCAGATGAAATTTTTTATCATTTATTGTATGCCATGTAAGGCAATTTCAGTGGTTTTGATTTTGAAAGCATTGTATAAAAGTTGCACCTTTACTTAGGGCAATCCCATAATTATTCCATTTTTCATTATGTTTGATTAGTGGTGAACAATTCATAAAATATGATTAAAGTAATTCAACAAATTGTTCTTAGGATGTTGTTGATCAACATCTAAATATTTGATCTTTTGCTTCAAGGTAATAATATCAAGAACTAAGTACATGATGAATGAATTTTTTCCCCAAAAAGTATTGTAGACTATATATATACATATAAGCATGAAAGTCCTTTAAAACGGGAATCAATGCGTTCATGAATCATCTCCTTTTCAATACTCAATTATTCAATCAATATTTCGTTCCATAGGTTTTTGACATTTGTATCTATGCGTGTCAATGTGGAAGGTATTTTTAAAATTAGTTGTCCTACATTCACTGGAAGGATGTTGAAAATGAGCATCAAATAAGTTGCACTTTTAATGAAGGATACAAATAGTAAGTGAGTTCCATATATCTTTTTGATGCAAGTGCTTAAATGTAGGAATGGATGCTCAAGTTGCCTATGGTTTTCATCATTTTAGAGAGGAAAAGCCACACCTTGCACAAGGTCTCATTGCCAATAAGGTATGGTTCCATACTTCAATTGTTGATAACTCTTTTTGCTCTGTTGAATGTTATTTGTCTTGGAGGATGAGGAATTGAGGAATTAGTGGTAGTTAACTGAATGCATAAATTAATTCTTATCTATTTTTTTTTCCATTTCTTTAAAGCTTATTCAGTTAACTTGATAAACTATTTTACCTCCTAATTTCATTAAATGGTCCCCTTTTGCACAATCTATTTCTGTACTTCTTAAAGTATGAAGACAAATTTATTGTAACTTGCTATTTTGACCCACATTAGTTTTGATTCAACATTTGAAGTTAATTTACTTTGAAAGATTAACAATTCACCTATTACAGTTTGACATCTTATATTGGGCCAGCAATAAGTCAATCATTTAAAAATCTTTTTAAAAAGATTATTCGTTTCTTCTAAGCATACACATCTTGTTATTTATTTGATTTGAAATATTTGTTTATAGATTTTGAAACGGCTTTTGTGAACTTGATGGATTATTTCAACGAATGCTCCTATCAATGTCAATTAATTATACTGCAACCTTTCAATTGTTTAATGTCTTTTTTTGTTGCCACAGCGTACTGTTCAGTGAATAAGATAGACTAACCCCTTTCTCTTCATAGTTGATATACACAGGATACAGTTGCGCTCAAGGATGGTTTTTTACACCTTGTGTAAATGATCCAACCTTAAGGTAAGCTGCATGCACAAATAATTTATTTTTCTTAATAGTTTAACTGTTTTGCTACTCATGTTACATGCATGCTAGATTTACCTATTTACAAATGCAATCATATGTTTGCAATCTTCATGGCATATTTTATTCAGACAAAAAAAAAAAAAAATCATGTGAAACTACATTGTGGATATGTTTTTGCAGAGCTGTAGACCTCAATAATCGCGTGGAGGTTGAACTGACCAAATATGGTGAAATGACGTGTGAATGACGCGAAATCTCGTAAATACAACCTGAACTGTGTCGGCTAAAAGTTAAAATTTCCCAAATAACCATTTTTCATGAAACAAATTGTGTCAGTGAGTTCAAGAGAGAAGAAACGACTAAGATTGATTCCCATATTGCTTGGGGTATCTCGTGATGGAAAACAAAAAAATTCTTGCACGAGGTGATGAAATGGCATCAATATGCAAGTGCTATATATATATATATACACACACACACACGCGCGCGTAATTATTTGATGATAATAATAATAATAATAACAATTTAAAAAATTCAAACAAAAAGTAAAAAATCTCAATTCTCCCTATTCTTTTCTGTGCATAACCCCTCCTGGCCATGCCATTGTTATGTTGTCGGCCTTGAGCCTCGTTTTGTTGGTCTCTTTTTTTTTTTTTTTGGAAAAAAAGATCAATGGTGTGCATATGCCCTAGGAGGCCTCTTCTCTCGTTCTCCCTCTGTTTGATCCCACTATATAGCCGCCACTCACATGCACGCCAAGCTCACTATTGTCGGTGTAACGCTTACATCGAAACTCCCATCTCCCTCTCTGTGTCACTTGTGATCGTAGCAACCTGAGCTTGCTGTCCTTTCTCCTCCACTCACAGTAGCTGTTGATGTTCGATCACTAGTTGGCCATCGTCCCTCCCTACAGCCTCTGATTCCTTTACGGCCACGATGTCATCCGACACCTTTCGTATATGTTTTTCTCTAGCATGACGAGAGGCCCATACTGCTGGAATTTCCCCTAAATCCTAAACGGGGGAGACGCCGAGAGGTTGCCGAAATTTAAACTGAACAGGGGACCAAGATTGAACCAAATGACAATAACAGGACACACAGATTGGACCACATGAAACTTGGACATAAACTTAAACAAACTACCGGGAATAGAAATTAAACAAAATAATAGGGAATTGGACTTTAAATTGATAAATGCTCGATTGAATTAAATATCAAAACCAAACGGTAATTTTGATAATCCAAATACATTCAAATGAACCTCATGCAAGCAAATGCAACTAGAAGGATTTGGCATGTAACGTATGATGAATACAATAGCACCTTTACAATCAACGTCAAGTGGAAATTCATAAGAAATGAAAATTGAAAGGTATATACAGTTGATTGCAAACAAATATCAATGATGCAAGTCCACCATGCAAGCTACAAGAATGATGAAAGACTTGTAATATTCGCCATAACTCACAAGCGATATATCTGCAAAGAGAGTAAATATGAAGGAATGCAGTAGTGTTCCTATCATCAACAATGATTCAATGTCCAGAAAATACATCAATAAAGGAGACCAACACATAATGAGCATAAGGAATTGATGACTAAGACCTATTGAACAAGCTTTAAGCAGATACAATTTGCAAGTGATCAATTCTATTTTATCCTACACTAGCATACAAAATCTTTGGCACATGTTATGAACCACTCATGGATGATGTTAGTTGATGCATAGTGTTCATGTCAAGCATGCTATGAATACCGTAGTCCCCTTTGTGATCAACGCCAGTCCACTACAAAGAGGCAATGATAGAAGACTTCTCACGCACACAACCATTTGCTTATATAGTAAAAATACTTGCAAGCAAACGTACAATGAATGGAACAATGTTCTATGATCAACGTCAAGATAGAAACAATTGCATTCAAACCTACAAGCAACAAAGTTGAAATTGATGATAGTCATGCAAAGAGACACAGTAGTCCCTGTCATATCCATCCGCAACCACTGATGAAGGTTATGCATTGTGAAAAACACTACAACCTGTTCACAAGTAGTTGTAGAAGGGTTCATTATGTGTATAGTAGCCCCTTTATGAGGGACAACGAACAACATGTAGTAGATGCTAGATTATTCTAACATCCATACAATAGGACAAAAGACGTTTACAAATTCCCACTAAAATAGGATGCCACGCCACTGAATTCGCAATACTCATACAAGCGGACAGAAGACATGTATAAGCTCTCAAATGGAATGCTGTGCATACTCAAACGACAGTTGCCTGCACATCTAAAATATTCCAAAATTTCCCCACATATATATTACAATGTGTATACACAGTTACACAAAAAATATGAAAGTGTACATACAAGAACGTATACCTGCATGGACCTCGGTGAGCGTGTTGTATTTACACACGTGACGTTTGAGGATGCTGCTCGAGTCAAGAAATGAACTTAAGTTCAAGTCCAATATTTCTTGATAGATGAGAATCAACACGACTTGAACAATTAAATAAATATACGGTCGCAGTGTCGACTGAGATATTTGTTTCAATAAGTTTATATTAGGCCTTCAAGATATATAGCCAGGAAAATTCACTACTAAAGGCATAAAGCCTGCAACGAACTCGATCTTCAATCAGCAATTAGACATAGTTAATAAGGTTCAACGGATAATTACAAAAATGCCCCCTAAATACCCGCATTGGCCCCGGACAAGCGTGTTACATGTACACACGCGACATCTGAGGATGGTGCACAGGTCAATAAGTGAAATTAAGTTTGGACTCGATCCTTTTATGCGGGTCATTAGGAGTCGACATAGTTCGAGCCATCAAACAAATGTATGGTCATAGCGTTGACCAATATATTTATTTCAATATGTTCATATTAGACCTTCAAGGCCTATAACAAAGAAAATTCACTAACGAAAGCTTGAAGCCTACGAAGAACCCGATACTTTGTCATCGAGTAGGTAGAGTTTACAAGTTTCAATTCATAAATGAAATTGCCCATTAATACCCTGATGATGGCTGTATTAAATGTAGATCTCAACCAGAGTGGCTCCAAACTAACAAAATGCCACTCAAACACCCACAAAATTCAAAAATCAAAACTCCAAGAAAATGCCAAAATTCAAATATTTAAAATTGAAATCAATCATCAAACATTTAAAATAAAACACATTCACCCTCCGCAATAATTTGTCGATGTGGACAAATTAAAATATCACTTCAGCCCACAAAAAGGTTAATGTCTGGTCGAGAATATCACTAGGATTCATTCTCAAACAGTCTTTTGCCAGCAAGAATGTGACTCATGTCCTCTAACCGACGATTTTGGCACCAAATGACACCGCAGGTAAACAATTATGATTAGGACCCTCTGAACCGGGTGGTTTGGTGCCAAATGGTACCACTAAATTACGATCATGGACAGAGCTCGTAAACTCCCTTATGGCACTAAATCTTTGATATATGAATCAATAGGATATAATCGGTAGGGCACAATGCCCTCTATTAGTTAAGGTGGATCCAAATTTGTCTTCTTAGACAAACATCTACCTTAAGTCTACAAGGTATCCTTGGATGATGCAACCCATGGTTGCCGATAAGGATCATTCTATTTGGGTCGACTACCTCCTATAACTAAGTAGACCAGGGACCATGATGACCCAGGACGATAGAACCATGAGATCTTGATCAGGTCCATCATCACTTGCCCGACCATCTGCTTTTAAGTGCAATGTGGTAAGTTTTTAATTTTAAGTATCAAACTCTCAAATACTCAAACCCATGCTGCTACTATATGCTAGATAACACGTATCTCTACGTATTTGATTGGCGACTAGCCTTAATCGAAAGTTCTCTCTCATTATCGGGAGAGGTAATTAACTATAGGGGCTTATGCCTATAGGAAACCAAAACTCAGATCATAAAATCCTCGCAAAATGAAGGCAAAATCTCTAGGTAGTGTATTATCTACAAACCCAATTTATCTTCTGAAAATTTACCTCGGAACTTAATCCGTTAAAACTCCCCCGAAAGAGGGGAGGTTGGCGCACAAATTTTCAGAGCCTACATCCCTCTTGTCACTGGGAGAGATAATTAACCATAGGAGCTAGCGCTTATGGGAAAGGCAGAACCATGTCATAAAGTCCTCGCAAATCGAGGGTAAAATCTATTGGTAGTGCTTAACTACAATACAATATGCCTTCGAAAAATTTGACTGTGTAGCATCCTAAACTTTCCTAATAGAGAGGCTAGGGCAGGAATTTTTGGAGCCCACAAGCAGCAAGTTATCTGTTCATGCTGAAGCATGGTTCTGACAGATGCTTTTTGTAAACGGCTTTTTGAGAAATTCTTCCTTTTCCACTACCGAGAACTTGTCTTAGGTTGGACGGTGTGCCTTTGAAATCTCCAACCATCTATTAATATAATAAGAGAGTTTGTTATCCTGGTTGACATTTTAGGAGGATTTAATATTTTAGATATGACACTGGTGATTTTGCCTTCTTTGGAGAACTGGATAATCTAGTTCAAGCTCTTATATAGTCACAAGCTCTTATTATTAATTTCAGCATAATCTCCTTCTATTAGGTATTCGTCTCAATCACAAGAGATCATTTTCAGTTGAGGCTAATCTATGAGCTCTATGACACTTTTCTTTTAAGTGACAATTTTAATTGGGGAACTAAAAATATCTCTAGTGGCTCAAAGTAGATGTGGGGAAATGACTTCGTAGCTTTGTCATCCCAGTTTATTATAGAAAATGGTATACTTAGTTAATTGAGACAATTGATCTAACTTGATCGAATGATCATTATCAACACCCACGGATTGCATCATCTGCGGGAATCTTGTAAACTAGGTAGGAAGAGCTTATTGAAAGGGCCAATTTTAAGCTGATCTTAGCTAATTGAGCCCTTTGTGCTCTATTGAGTGCACCTTATGGCTCACAATTCACCAACTTAGCCGTGGAGAGCATATGGGCTTGGTCCTTTGTTCAAGTTGTTCAGGTGCACATCTTTGGCATGACCGCAGGGTCCAAAGGGAAAAATTCCCAAATTTTATGATTATTTCTGAAAATTTGAAAATAAGAAAAAACAAATTCAATTGTGGTGATAAAGCTTTGATTGCATAGATATTAATCTTATATGCAAATTCTTGAGATGTGAACCGATTGCTTCTACTTACATCGATCAAATTCTCAACAAGATGAGTAACAAACAGAATGTCCTTGTTTGGAGCCCTAGTCTTTAAGAAACTTCTTTACTTAAGCTTCTACGAGAACAATATCTTTTTCCTCATGATGTATGTGCATTTTTAATTCAGAAAAACATCAGAACTTGTACTTTTTGTACCCTCTGGTAAAACTTTTGGCAACATAACTTCTATGAATCCTCTTGATGTGATATTACTCTGCTAGTTTTTCAGTCAACCAGACATAATTATGTTCAGCTCTAAAATTGTGGCAGAAATAGATATTTCTCATATTTAGTTTTTTCCCCAGTTTTAATTAGGTTTACATTACTGCAGGGGGCTTAACAACATTCTGCGACTTTCAATAAAAAAGATAAATACCTCTGACTGGGAGCATGTTCGTGTTCCATCGAGGCAAGCCCCAAAATTAATTACCTGAATTTTTCAAAATTTCAAGGCTTGCTATTTGTTCTTCTAATTGCTCATTACTTTTATTTCGGACTGGTTCACTCATCTGCACTTTGTAGACTCATCTTGTTATTTTCTTTTTAGCGAAAGCTAATGATATTCTTCACAATGCAGCGTTAGGGCAATAGTAGCTCTAAATCTCCACAATTATGGAAGTGGAAGGAATCCATGGGGTTCTCCAAAACCTGAATACCTTGCAAAGGTTTGCCTTATTTATTTATTTATTTTGAATAGGAAGTCATCTGAAGATGATATTCCATAATTTTGAAGTTACACAAATCAATAAGTTTTAAGTTGTTTATCTAATACTTTCCTCAAAACACATACAACGCTCTAAGGCTTTTGTGAATTATATTCTGCACATTGTTCCTGTCAAAGGTTGGACCTTCCATCGGTTCAGGTTTTCAAAAGCTTAAGAATTACAATTTCATTGTTTTAGGTCTTTGTGATCCTTTTAGTGAGTTTATCAGCTCACACGTCTATGTTATCACACTCTACTTCCATCCTCCAAGGGTTTGCAACTAGCATCCATTGTCCACATAATCCTTTTTGTTGGATATTCATATTTTTGATAGGACACTAATCAACACAAAGTTCTGTTTTTTGAGCTGAGTTTAACTTCTCACTGATCCCTAAATCAACTCCTTTACAGCTTAATTCTGCATCAAGCACGCAATTTTCGTTTTTATTTCTGTCATTATTTTTGTGTATCAACGGCTTTGTTCAGACTATTTGAGAAAATCCATCACAGTTTTTGAAGGTATGTTTATATCTTGGCCATTGATCATTAGCCTTGGATTATCTTGAACTCCAGGTCCCATTTTGCAGGCCTTCCATCTATTTTTTCTTCTTCTGATCTAAATCTTACTTCATTCTGTATAAACCCACTGATTTCAATTAGATTACACTTGAAAGGTTGAAGTGTAATACATTATTACTCACAGTACTCACAGAAACTTACTACACGATACTACTATTATACTATACTACTACTAAACAATACTACTACTATACTATAATATACTAATATTTTACTAAACTATATTGTACTCGACTATACTATGCTACTATACTATACAATACTACTATATTATACTACAATATACTATACAATATTATATAAACTTACTACACGATACTACTATTATACTATACTACTACTAAACAATACTACTACTATACTATAATATACTAATATTTTACTAAACTATATTGTACTCGACTATACTATGCTACTATACCATACAATACTACTATATTATACTACAATATACTATACAATATTATATTACT